AAAGTTGAAACATTGAAACATCATTTAAACAGGTCAGAACTTCTAAATTCTCTTTAAGTACAACATTTAAGAACATTTAAGCATTTGATTGACTTAAGTTTTACAACAGAATTTTCATTCATCATGGATCTACAAGTTGTGCCTGTAGATCCACTAATATAGTCTACGTTCCTATGCTGTTGAACGACGGCAAGCCTATAATTGGCACTCCCATTTAATATTAACACCCTATTGGGGTTTCAATTCTCATTTTAAACATGGAGTAAAATAAATCCATGTCAGGTTTATTTCTTGCTAAGATAAAATCACCAGTGGTCTTGTGAGAGTAAGTATGAAGGAGCTTCTTAGTCCCATATACCACACTATGTCCTTAGAACTGGGCCATTGCTTATGGTAATACCAAAATTTCAAGAAATAGACAACTCCCTGAACCGTACAGGGATGTGAAAAAAATATAAAATTTAGAAGTGTACACTTAAATTGTTTATAAATATTAGCTTAGTAAGTGCACCAAAAATTAATTAAAATGGATGGGAGGAACTTTTTATATATATACATGTGTATATATATATATATAATAATTGCTGCTGTAAATGGCCGGAAAACTGAAAGTAACTGGAAACCTTGAACTGCCTTTTTTAAGTGTGTGTGTGTGTATATACACATGTATATATATACTTTTGTCTTTTCCGGTGATTGGTTTTTCACATCCCTGTCAACCTATATATATTAATTCTACCACTTACCTTCTAATAGATGTGCTGTGACTGGTCGCCATAAAATTTCACTCTCGACAAGTTCACTAAACCAGTCTCCAGTAACTTAGCAACAGCAAACAATGATGGTTCCTGTAAGACACAACAAATATATCTATTTCTGGTAATAATTATGTTTTGTAAAGACAATGTTACAATCTCCTAGGGAAAGCTATTTTGAGCAATTTTAGGTTTTTCACTGCAATTCAAACCAGTGTTGACATTTGATTTTTTAATCAATTTAATATATTTAACTGATGTGTCCTCTGGAAAAAAAAAAGCTAGACAATTAACCAGTAACTTAATTATTTTTTGTTTTTTATCCTTATCATTAAATCTTTTTTTTTTTTTCCTTTTTCTTAAAACATCTCCTGACAACAATAAACTATTAATGGTAATTAATGGTACCTTAGGTTAAAAAAATGTTTGGAAAAAAAAAATAATATTCAAAAACATACCTAATCTTTTATCTGACAAGAGAATCACTTGACTAAATAAATGTTTTTAAAATGTTGTTTATTACTAAATATAGACTTATGTTTTGCTTTATTTTAACTATTATACTAAAGTATTAATTTTTAATTTTTCAGAAATTGATTCTTTACTTTTTGTGATTTGTTATGGTGAATCTTTGTGGGATTATTTTGTACGTATATTAAATTCATCTATTCCAAGCCTTTTCTTTAAAAGCCTCATTTCTCTATTTTTATGTTCAACTAAATCTTATTTTAAAAAAACACATTACTGTTATATTACTGTTTGATCTTTTAACTTTATCTAATTTATTATCTCCAGAATTTGTGTAATGGATTTGGCAAGCTTTAAATTTGGAACAGTCCATTCAAAGTTTAAAGTTTTATGGGAAAATTGGCTGCCAATGCCTTGTGAGCCTGGTTGGACAACATATGCAGGTTAGCCTGGGCAAAGACTGTAGAACTTTTTCCATATTTACATTATAATTTCTCTTTGCCTTCGAAACTCATGGAAATCTTACTACATTAAGGTGCCATTAGAAACGTGAAGTGTGAATGAAGGAATGTAAAATTGTGAAGACGCATCGAAATACTGATTTGAACAAACCTGACAGTAAAATTGTTCTACATTAAAATTACGGGGAATAATTATTAGTTATATATTCCCCACCCTAAAGCTCTTGCAAATGAAATTATATAAAGTAGGAAGTGAAAAATTTCCAAAAAGTTGAATGGCAAACATTTGTTTAAAGGAAAGCTGAATTTTTCACCATCCTGTAAAATTTACATTGATAAAATTTCTGATTAAATAAAATTTTTCCGAAAATTTTTCACAAACCTAAGCCCCATATTCACTTATTTTCAACCCTCGGAAAAAACCCTACAAAGGAAAAATAAATTCTCCTAGTTATAAAATACGTTTTATGCTATTGAGTATACAGATCGCATTTTGTTATTTATCCCAAACTATATTCATTGGAATTAGATATCTAAATATATTTTTTATAAAGATTAATTTGTTCTCTTATATTTATAGATAAGGAAATCTATTTTAGGACACCATTAGGGAGACCATGGGATTAGGCTTCAAGGACAACAGGAATAATGTTAGACGTAATAGGATGATACTGGTTTCACCAAATCTAAATTAACTACCCTTTAAACACTAGATTTCACTTATTAACCCATATCCTGCTGAATTTGTGTAAAATATTCTGGTCATTTAATTATTCTGAACTAATATATTTCCATCATTTTAAGGTATGTATGAATATAACAAGAGCAGTCATGGAAGTACAAATGTAGTGTGCTCCACTTTTCTCAGTTATAGAAAATGAGGGAAAATTCTGAAGAAAAAAATGTTTATTACCTGCCATTGATAGTATGCAAGCATTAATTTCTGTTTTAAGTGAATATTTATGATGTTTTATGGACAAAATTACAAATATAATTTTTCTAAATACAAAAAAGGGAGATAATTGAGCAAAAAATGTTTATCAGGGTTATCTGTCCCTTAGAAATTGTGAACAAGTATTCCAAGTTTTCAATGAACATCTTTGATAGTTTTTGAGTAATTAATCTGAACAAAAATGTTAACCAGAGCATCTAATGCAAAAAGGGGCATAACTATGCAAAATACAATTCTTGGATTTTCTGCCCTTGAAATTAGGAATCACTTGTTGATAATGAACAAATATACCAAGTTTGAATGATATAGCTCTGGTTGTTTTTTGAAAAACTGGACCTAATACAGGTTAAGGACAGACAAGCGAAAATCTATACCCTCTCCCCCCCCCCCTACATTAGGGAATAAAAATAATGGATCAATTATCACAAAAATCACCAATAGCTTTCTAAGACTTTACTTTAGTTATGTTGACGATAAGTTTTATGTCTAAAATAGAAATCAGACAATTTCCAGATACTCTTTCAAAAGCTGAACAAACAAAATTATAAAGAGTTATGAATAAAATTGCTCTTTGTATCATTTATCAGCATTTAAATTCATTTAAAAAAACATAAACAACAATAAAATACTATAATAAAATACTATCTATTACTTTAAAGTAAAAATGATAGCATTTTTAAATGAAAAAAGCACAAAATTCATCAATTTGACAAAAAAATTCAAACAACAAAGGAAAAAAAGAGAGAGAAATTGGGAAAATAAATTGAGAAAGTTTTAATGGATTGCACACATCAGAAACACAATTTTGTCTTTAGTTATAGTTATGAAGAAAAATGGCTTTTATTCAATTGTCATAGCTCTTATGGGAAATTTGACAAATGCAGACATCGGATAAGAAAATTATTGAATGTTATAATGCGGGGGTCTTTATGAAAAATTATTCCATTTTAAGTTATTAAGTATATTGAAGCCAAAGCTTATGTATTTGTGTCATTTAATTTCTGATTTATGGTCCACCCGCTCAGCTCAATGAAGAGAGCATCAGAATTGTAACCAAGAGGTCGCTGGTTCGATTCCGCTGACTAGTCAAATTCCTCCAAGACAATTGACCTTGACATTGAGTCTAATGGTCATTTGCGTTGCACCATTGATTCAGAAATTATACATGTTGGATTAGTAGTCGGTTATTTGCAGATAAATTGATAATTACTAGCTTATTAATAAGTTATCAGGAAAGCACTGGTTTATATATAAATATATACATGGAGGACCGACTGCTAATATCACTAAAATGTGTAAAAAACAGAGATAAAAAACTGTTTTTGCTCAGGTGTTGTACTTTTTTAACACAGAATTGTTAAGTTTTACCAGAATATGAAAATTTTATCTTTAAATTGTTTCTGTTTTTCAGGAAGAAAAATAGGAAAAATTATGTCTTGTTTCCGTTTTTAAAGAAGCAAAAAAGAGAAAAAACTTATTTTCTAACTCAAATGCAATAACAATTTGTGTTGTTTTTTTTTAACAATTTTCAAATTTTACATTAAAGTAATACCAGTTGTTCAAATTTGGTAATTTCTGTAATTTGCATTTTTTATTCTCCAGCATGCAATTTCTCTCTTCTTCACCACAGTGAAAATTAAGGTCCCACATGAATTTTGCCAACAATTACGGAACATTTAGTAGACTTAAAAGTGCCTAGACAATAATGTGTACTTTCTGATCTGATGTTACTTGTACTATCATGTAAGAAATTTCTTAACACAAAAAAGTCAATACAAATATCATTAAAAAACTGAAAACATCCTGGTAGGCCACTTACCTGAGGGTAAGCTTCATGGCAGTTTATTTAAAATGTCATTTAAGTGCAGGGTTAGAGCAAAAAAACATTTTTTAAAGACTTTTACAGTGGCATTTTTATTAACTTCATTAAAAATATTTTGGACAATGAAAACAAATAATATTCAATGATATTTATATCAAATTAGAACAGAAACTTTGACAGACTATGTGTACTGAGCATTAAAAACATTCTTTTCTAATATTGATATTTTTTGGGAAAGAACACAGACAGTTGCGACTTCATATAATAAAATTAGTGACATTTTACTTTTGTCCAAATTCTGTTTTTCCATGACCTATTTCATTAATTGTCGAACAGCATAATCATTTTAGCTGCATAAGAATATTACATCAAATGTGACGGTGACACAAAACACTTGGCAATATCCCCTGGACAAATGTGACACGGCATTCCGTAAAGTGAAGTGATCGGTGAAACAACAAAATAAATATAGATTATTTTATATAACAGGAACAGTTAAGCCATTCCAATCTCAAATACCATCTCTGGTTTCTATCATACAGCCATATTAAAGTCAAACTATTGCCCCAAACTTCACATACGTAAATCCTACAATTTCAATGCTTCTAAAATAAAGCTAATTCTCGTACACTCCTGGGAATGGTGAATTGTCGGAATTAGGAAAAACTGCCTGAAAGGTCATACATCATACTAGAAATCAAAAGCTTATGCTTACACTTAGGGGAAATGTAAATTGTCTGGTACAGCTTACATAACAGGAACTTCTGCTCATAGGTATTTTATCATTGTTGCAGATTAACAAATTTATAAATGCAGACCATTTTTTTTGGGAACAAAACTGATGTATCTTGTATTTGTAATTACATATAAAGTCAGGTATAAGTCCTTTAAGGATAAAATAAACATGATTAAAAGCGAGATCAGCAGCACAAATTTCATGGTAATCTCCAAGGAATGCCAATGGTAAATCAGTGGTAAATTTTGCTGCAATGTCATTGGATCATTTATCACATACACAACATACAACTGCATTTCCTCAATATTCTTAGCTGAAGCACAGCTTAAATTTGTGTCATAGAATTTCCCCCCTATGACTTTTGGATCTTAAAAAAGGGTTTTGTTATCACATATCATCGCCTTAGTGAAGTAACTGGTTAACTCCAGATATATTTTGGTAGGAGTTAACCAGTTATTGCACACTACAATTAGTCGGCTGTAGCTATTGTCTTTTTGGACTGGATGGATGCCTGAAGCTTGACTGGTGAAAGAAGACTTCTGCTGTTCCTCCATACTTTGTTTAAGGCACAAGCAGGCCCCTGAATATAAACACCACCAAACCTTTAACAGGTTTTCTATAGAAAGCCTATATAGATAGCCTTCTTAAAATCAC